AGGGGCTGTGCAGGAGGCAGCTGAGCGATGTTTCTCTCTTACCGATGTTTCTAACTCTCTATCCCTCTCCCTTCCTCTCTGTAAAAATCAATAAACTATATTTAAATTAGAAAAAGAAAAAGACAAAGGATCCAGGGCACACTCTCCTTCGGGGGAGCAGTCCCTGCCATTCCTTTTCCCTCTCCCCCACTCCTTCCCCCACAGGCATCTCCTAAACTCTCAAGGACCCCACGAGGCTTGTAACCAGGGGAGCAACGGACAGCGGCAGCCCATCCCAGGCCAACCCCTGAACCTGTTCCCAAGGCCCCTTTTCTCCGACTTCCCAGAGAGCGAGGGCAGCCGGCCTAGGCGAGCCTGTTGCTTCTTCATTGCTAAGCCTTTTCCTGTTTTACGGTTCCCTCACAGTCACCTGGACTCACGTTTTGAAATGTTTCCTGCGTGAAGTCAAAAACCCACACACTGCCGCTGGCCCTGGGCAGACCCACCAAGAGCCAAGCTCTTTTTCCGGTAACAGATGAACACGACCTGGGAGTGGGCTCCTTGTGAAGTCACAGGAGGAGTGGGCCTCTCGTCAATGCCTGTCTGGTGTGCCTGCCCTGGAATAAAATTCTAGTCTCTCATTTAATCACCCTCCCTTTCCAGATGGGGAAACTGAGGCTCAAGAAGGCACAGGCTTGTCCAAGATCACACAGGAAGGATGGAAAAGTCCCCACCCACCCCCATCCCCTTTCCAGAGGCAAGAGCATTTATTGCCTTGTGGGTATTTCCTGAAATATCTATAAACATTCGCACAGAGATCATTTTTTAACACAATAGTGGCACACTGTTCTGCATCTTGCTTTTTTTTTTTTCATGAACAAGATCAAAATCTCTCCAGATGAGTATATATAGATGTGCCTTGGGGGTTGTTTTTTTCATGTGTTGCATTTTTTTTAATTTTTCAATTATAGTAGGCATTCAATATTATATTCATTTCAGATATAAGTGATCCTGATAAGTCTAGTACCCATCTGTCACCATACATAGTTATTATGATATTATTGACTATATATTCCCGATGCTGTATTTTACATCCCTGTGACCATTTCGTAACTGCCAGCTTGTACTTCTTAATGCTTTTGCTTTTTTCACTTAACCCCCCAAAACCCTCTCCCCCCTGGCGACCATCAGACTGTTCTCAGTATTTATAACTCTGTTCCTATTTTGTTTGTTTGTGTTTGTTGGTTCTTTTGATCCCACATATAAGTAAAATCATATGGTATTTGTCTTTCTCTGACTTATTTCACTTAGCATAATACCCTTTTGTTTTGTTCAGTGTCCATAAAGCACCAAACTGTCTAAATGTACTACAGTTAACTTAACCAGTCCCCTCTTAATAAACTTCTAGGATATTCCTAGTTTCTTGCCATTACCAATACTACTGGAATTCAGAGCCTTTGAGCAGACCTTGTGTCAGCCATATGAACCCGTCTCTCCACAATGAATTCCTCGGAGGAAAACTGCCAAGTCAAACATTATGTACTTTTGTCACTGTGAAAAGCATTTCCAAATTGCGCTCAAATTCCCCCTCTGCCGCTGGCTGGCCGCCCATTTCTCAAAGGGGCTTTCTGCTCTCTCTGAACGGCGTGAATGTTTGTCTCACAGCAAGAAGGTCTCCATGTGTTTCTTATGCAATTCAAATGAAATGAGCCCTTCCTTAAAAACACAAGCCCGGAAGAAGAGAAACCAGCAAGGCCAGTCCAGGCAGACGCTCCACCTGTCTCCTGCCTGCTGCCTTGTCCCCAGCCAGCCCTGCCTGATGTTGAAATCTGTTTCTCAAGCGTAAACATGGACCGCAACGATCAAACTTTGGAAAAAACATGGGCAGCAGATGAGGTCATTTTTCTCCCTCTGTTGCTTTTCATCTGTCTAGATTCCCCTGCCCCTGTGTCCTTCCTCCATCTCCTCCTTCCTCTTCTCTTTCTCTGACTCCTGATTTAGTGAGTGCTGTGCTGGAAACATTTTATTTATTTACTTATTTATTTATAAGTATATTTTTATTGATTTCAGAGAGGAAGGGAGAGGGAGAGAGAGAGATAGAAACACCAATGATTAGAAAGAATCATTGATCGGCTGCCTCCTGCACACCTCACACTGGGAATCGAGCCTGCACACGGGCCTATGCTCTTGACCAGAGTCGAACCTCAGATCCTTCAGTCCACAGGCCAACACTGTCCACTGAGCCAAACCATCTAGGGCTGAAAACATTTTAAAGCTCTGTCCAGTTCAACAAAAGAACACTTAAGTTATGCAGAATCTTGCATTTTTTAACAAGAAAGAGAAAAGGAAAGGAAAGCGCAGCTAGGAGTAGCCATTGGAAGAGCAAAACAAAGATCTATTTTAAACACATTAAGCTCTTCCTTTGTCAGCCTTTCCTTTCCCTTCCTGAACAGAAGCAAGTTGGAGAGGGGGGTGCAGGGCTCAGAATAGGGTGGGATGAGCAGGTGGCCACCCAGGGGCTGTGGGGTGTGGGCAGTGGCAGCTGTAAAAGACTGGCTACTTTCAGGGGAATTGAGCACAGAAGTAAGGATACCAAGGACATTGAGAGCCCGAGTTCTCACTCATGGAGAAATGAACTACAATTATGCAAAGGGAGAAAACTACTAGTAAAATGAACCCTATATGAGGGGTTGGAATTGGAGATAGAGTAGCCGCCTGATTTTCAAGACATAGAGATAGATGTAGAATAACTATAGATGTACATGTGTGTGTAAATATATCCACATTTCCTACTTCTGTCCACTGAGAAAGCCTCGGTGCAGCAAGAACACAATAGCAACCACAGCTATTGGTCCCAAATCTTGGTTTCTACATGTCAACCTCCAGCCAGAGCTGGCTTGAGCATCGACCCTCTGACTGAAGGGTCTTGGGTTCTGTTCCAGTCAAGGGCACGTACCTCGGTTGCCTCCCAGCCCAGGTCAGGGAGGGTGCAGGAGGCAGTAAATCTATGTCTCTCTCACATCGATGTTTCTCTCTGTGTGTCTCTCCCCGTCCCTTCCACTCTCAAAATTCAATGGGGGGTGGGGGGGAATATCCTCGGGTGAGGATTAACAAAAGTAAGTAAGAAAGTAAATGTCATCTTCCAGTGAAATGTACCAGGGCTTCCTGGAGTAAAGGCTAATTCTAGGACGGGCACCGTGAAAGGACAAGGTAAGCCTGGCAGGCTTGTTGTGCCAGGAAGCAAAACAAAACAAAACAAAAATGCTCGAAGAATGATGGGGACAGGTTGAAAGGACTCAGCGACCAGCTCACAGGAGCTCCCACAGGTGAAACTGGGGACAATTGGAACATGAGAACAAACCATGACTAGAAGAGATGATAATCCACCAATGCTATGAGTCTATAAATTAAGAAATCAAAAGTGTGATGAGGAGTGCCCTCACACCTTTCTTCCCTCTCAGGCATGCATCTCCTAAACTCCAAGGGTCCCCACAAGATTTGCAACAAGGGGAGCAATGGGCGGCAGCAGCTCATCCCAGGTTTACCTCCTGAACATGTCTCCAAGGCCTGGGACTGACTTCCCTCTGGGCCCACACAGCCCCACGTGGCTCACTTTCCTGTCATGTTCCCAGGCTCCCTTGTTCTTCCACCCTAAGCCCTTCCTTGTCTCACTGCCCCCAGCTTTAATAAACATACTCTCAAAATAAAAGAGAAAATGTGGTGAGGAACGGGATATTCACACAGCCCCTGAATGTCTCCCCAGAAAACACCTTCATTACAAAGAGGGGAAGGGTGGCTTCCAGGGGAGAAGCCTGGAAGACACCACCTCTCCCAAGCGATCAAAGCGACTGTCCTGAAAGCGACCCTCCTGAGGGGGTGTCAGAAGAGCCTAACGTCTCCTGGGACACTCCCGCCCGAGATGCATAACCCGAATCTGATCCGGAGAGGAGACAGACCAAGGCAACCGATGGACACCCCACCCCAAAACTGTCCTGTGATGTTCACAAGAGTCATGACGGCCAAGGGGAGAGGGGAGAATTCTTCCAGACCAAAGGAAGCTAAAGAGACAGGACAGCTCAGGGCAACGACAGAGTCCAGCTTGAACCCTTTACTGTTGTTGAAAAGAAACAGGCCCAAAGTGCAGGTTAGTCTCTCCCAAGAAGAGAATTTTAAACCAACCCATCTGGAATTTCCTGATCCGCACGAGTGAGGTAATCTGCCCATAAAACCTTCCATTTTGTACAGCTCCTGGGAGCTGCCTTCTGTTTGCTAAGTGGGACGCTGCCCGATTGGTGAATCATTCAATAAAGTCAATTAGTATTTAAATTTATTCGGCTGTCGCTGTGGAAAGCCGAGTTGCCCAGGTGGGGCTGCTGTCAGTATGGAGTTACCTCAAAAAACTAAAAACGGAACTGCCTTATGACCCAGCAATGCCACTTCTGGGAACTTATCCAAAGAAACCTGGAACACTAACTCGAAAAAAGACATGCACCCCTCTGTCCATGGCAGCGTTGTTTACAATAGCCAAGATTTGGAAGCGGCCCACGTGCCCATCAGTAGATGAGTTGAGAAAACGGCTACGGTACATTTACACAATGGAATACTACACAGCTGTAAAAAACAAAAAAAGGAATTCTTACCCTTTGCAACAGCATGGATGGACCTAGAGAACATTATGTGAAATAAGCCAGTCAAAGAACAGCAAGTACCAAATGATTTCACTCATATGTGGAAATGAGCTAACAAGCAAAATAGAGACACTCATAAATACAGAGCAGGCAGGCAGCTCTGGTTGGGGGTGGGGTGTTGCAGGGTAGGGGAGGGATGGGGATTGAGCAAAAAAGAAAGAACTCATGGGCAGGGACAAGAGTGTGGTGACTGTGGGGAGGTGGGGGCTGGAGGAGGAAGAGGGTATGGAGGGATAAATGGTGATGGGGAGAAGAGTAAAATGTAATTTAAAAGTAAAAACAAAAATTAAAAAACACGTACGGCATGACTAAAAACTAAAACAAAAAACCTGCATGACATCATTCTAACGGGTAAATGTACTCGGCTGAATTTGTGTTCATACTGTGCAGGCCATTTATTGGGACGACTGGCGACACTTGAATGGAGTATGAGGATTAGAGAGTAGAAACTTATCAGTGCTAATCTTTTTTATGTTGGAAGTTATCCTTTGGTTCCGTGAAGGTTCTTGTTTGTAGGAAACACGCACTAAACATTGTGGGGCATAACATTGGCAACTTACTCTCATACGATTTAGGAAAATTAATTTCTTTGTACTGTACGCACAACTTTTCTGTAATTTTGAGGTATTTCCAATTAAAGATTAAAGCAGTGCTTTTTTTGTTTTTGTTAATCCTCCCCTGAAGATATTTTTTCCATTGATTTTTAGAAAGAGTGGAAGGGAGAGAGAGGGGAGAGAGAGAGAGAGAGGGAGATCGATGTGAGAGGCACATCGATTGGGCCCAACTGGGTTGGGGCTCCAACCTGCAACCCAGGTATGTGCCCTTGATCAAGAATCGAACCCAAGACCCCTCTGTGTGAGGACCAATGCTCTAACCACTGAACTCACCGGCTAGGGCTAAAGCAGTGCTTTAAAAACTTGTTTAAGCACATAGGAAGTAAGAAGCTTTTTTTTTTTTTACTTTTTTTAAAATATGTTTTATCGATTTTTTACAGAGAGGAAGGGAGAAGGATAGAGAGTTAGAAACATCGATGAGAGAGAAACGTCATCAACTAGCTGCCTCCTGCACGCCCCCTATGGGGGGATCAAGCCGGAAACCCAGGCATGTGCCCTGACTGGAATCAACCAGTGACATCTTGGTTCCTGGGTCAACGCTCAACCACTGAGCAACACTGGCCGGGCAAGAAATTTTTTTTATATCAAGACCAGTACAAAACATGTTTGTGAACCTGAAACAAATGCAGCACAAAACAACATCTCCTTGCTTAAAAAGTTAATATCAAATATGGTTTTTAAGAACTGGAATATAACAGAAAAATCAATCCCAAGAGAAACGGTAAAGAGATAAGCCCCAACATCACTGGTAGAGATTCACTGAATTGATGTCATGACCTACCATCGTTGCCCAGTCTTCTTACAAGAATAACAAGAGCAAATACATACTGAATAGGTTGTATCACACCCGGGCTCTGTCCTAAGTGCCGTGCAGATATTGCTTAATCCTCACAACTTCAGATGGTAATGTTAATGTCCATCTTAAAGTTGCAGAAACTGAGGCCATGAAAGATTAAGTAACACGTCCAAGGTCACACAGCTAGGAAAAGGTGGGGCTGGCTTGGAACTTTAGCCCGACTTCACAACACGCCGCAAAGGGGATATTATTATCCCTTGCTTGGCTGATTGGGAAACGCAGGCTCAGAGAAGCGAAATGGCCAGCCCATGGTCATGCCGATATTGAAAAGCAGAGACTAGTCCCCGAGAACAGTCCTGCACAGTCAGGGAGAAATGTTGTCATGCTCAGATCCCAAATCAGGAACCTCTATTTGTTCATTGAACCCAATTATGAGAAGACAGCACTCCAGTTTGGCCAACACGCCAGCTGTCCATCTAACGCTTTGCTGTCCAACATGGCAGCCACAAGCTCATTTAAATGTAAGCTAATTCAAATAAGATTAAAACACTGCAGTCGCACACCCACCACTTGTGCTCAGTGCTCACGGCTCCCACAATGCACAGCACAGACTGGAAGCTCTGCTGGGCAGGGAGGAGCCTGGAGACTGTTGGCCAGACCTGAACAATCTCTCCTTCTAAAGGGGCACTGCACTCTTCCGGATGCCCTTTCATTGCATGCCAAACGCAGGAGCACAGTCCATCAGATATCCTGTCAACAACCACACGTAACTGTGCTTTTACTGAAGTGGCACTGTCATATTTCCGTGTAAATTAATTCAGGAAAGAAAAGCCCATTAATTAGCCCATAATCCCCAGCTTGGGTTTTAATCCATGGTCGTGACACCTGATGGTACCTATAAACTCTCACCTGGTAGATTTCTTCCCCTGAATGGATTGACCTGGTCGAAGCCAGCCAAGGAGAGACGCTGGTTCCAGCACAATTCTGACTCAGCCCATTGGAAAGTTTATGATGACATTCATCGAAGCAATTAGGACTACAGTACACTAACAACTGAATTTATGCTCCTGATAGACAGGTCAGAGGCAGGGTGGAGACTAGGAAAGAATAACAGGAAGATGAAAGGGTTTTTTAAAAATATATTAAAGATAAGAGTGAGGGGAGGAAATGCCAGCTGGCTAAATTTTTCCCCAGTCTGTTGCTGACACACTCTCTGACCAGGCCTCAGCTCACCACCAACACCCGGTGGATTAAAATCACAGGTCTTGCCCTAGCAGGGTTGCCCAGTGGTTAGAGTGCTGGCCCTTGGACTGAAGGGTCTTGGGTTCAATTCCTGTCAAGGGCACATACTTTGGATCCTGGCCCTGGTCCAGGCACATGCAGGAGGCAACCAATTAATGTGTCTCTCTCACATTGATGTTTCTCTCTCTGTGTCTCTTCCCCTCCTTTCCACTCTCTCTAAAAATCAGTGGAGGGGAGGAGGTTGGGAGATAAATAAATAAAGAGATAAAATCATGGGTCTTTTCTCTGTTACACCCTAGAGTCCAGAGCTGAAATAATGGAAATTTCCATATCTGTACTGTCCATACAGTAGCCACATGTGGTTACTTGAGCATTTGAAATGTGACTGAGGAACTGAATTTTAAATTTTATTTAATTTTAATTTTAATGAATTTAAACTAACATGTGTACAGCAACATGTGGCTGGTGGCTACCATATTGAGCAGTGTAGCACTAACTGGTGAGCCGTAGATCAGGACAGGGCCTTCCCATCTGTGTTCCACAACACCTCACATGCAAACTAGTTGTTTTGGGGGCACCCTCTAGGGCAGTGGTTCTCAACCTTCCTAATGCCGTGACCCTTTAATACAGTTCCTCATGTTGTGGTGAACCCCAATTTCATTATTACAAATTGAACATAATTAAAGCATAGTGATTCATCACAAAAACAATACGTAATTATATATGTGTTTTCCAATGGTCTTAGGTGACTCCTGTGAAAGGGTCGTTCGGCCCCCAAAGGGGTTGCGACCCACAGATTGAGAACCACTGCTCTAGGGTGACTCCCTGGGTCCCAACCCAGCTCTGGGAAAGCTTGAGAAAGTGACTTAATCTTGTTTGTGCCTCAGTGTTTGCATCTGTAAAATGGAGCATAAGTGGACCTCACAAAATGTTAAAAGTTTGGGGACTTCAACGGAGGGCAAAGGGAGATGCACTGCATGATCTTTCCAACTGGTCTGTAGGTGTGAAATTTTTTATAATCAAAGTTGGAAAACAAAATGCTAATACTATATTACAGGAAGGCTCTGAATAGTCAGTGGTGCGTGGAAAGTGCTTGCCACAGTGCCTGGCACCAGCAAACAGTGGGTGCTTTTAAAAATGCCTGGCAAGAACATATATGCATAGCCCATGGACACAGCCGGCAATGGGGCTAGGGCCAGAGGGAGGGAGGCGGTCTGGGTGGAGGGAGCAAAGGGTGGGGATGGGGAGTGGGGGACATCTGTAATAATGTCAACAATAATCAATCAATCCATTAATTAATTATCTGGCACCTGGCAGGGTAGCTCTTAAAGCACTGTCCCAATGCACCAAGGTTGTGGGTTCATCCCCATTCAGAGCACAGATAAGAATCAAACAATGAATGCAAAATAAATGGAACAACAAATCTCTGTGTCCCCCTTCCTCTCTCTCTAAAATCAACAAATAAAAACTTTAAAAGCAATAATAAACAAAATACCTGACAAACATCTATTCTCTGAAAGGTGTCAGAGACAAAAAGATAAAAGAAATAACAGCCCGGCCAGTGTGGCTCCGTGGCTGAGCCTCAGTCTATGAACTAGGAGGTCATGGTTTGATTCCCCGTCAGGGCAGAGGCCCAGATTTCAGGCCTGACCCCAGTAAGGGGCATGTGGGAGGCAGCTGATCAGTGATTCTCTCTCATCTTTGATGTTTGTCTCCCTCCGTCCCGCTCCCTTCCTCTCTGAAGTCAAATAAAAAATATATTTTAAAAAATAATGAAAAAGAAAGTTGTTCAAACCCAGACTCCCCGCTGGGCTATCTCAGCGCCTCTGTTAAAGGAAGGCCTTGGCATTTCTTCCCTAGCTCAGCCTCAAGAGTTATTGGAAGAAATGAGGTAGCAACGACTCCTTTGAGACACTGTACAAAGTAATCCAACTTTTATTGAGGCCTTTACGTTCCAGAAACTGACCACAGAGGCATAAGGCTCGGTCCCTGCCCTTGAGGAGCTCACAGTCTAGTCGGGAAGACAGCCGCTGAGACGATTCCCACGGAGATGCCGGGCAGGGCCGGCCGCCCGCAGACGGGGGACGCGCTGCCCCGCTCGGCCCCCCACCTTCCAGGCTGGCTCCAGCAAAGCTCATCGTGGTCTCTCCCGCAGTCCCGGGGACAATTCCAACTACTCTCGTCACCATGAGCACAGGGGAGAGACTAGGATTCGGGGGATACATTTGCTGCCTCAAAAAGCTACGACACCCAGAGGATATGTACAAAGGTCCCTTTCTTTCCCGGAGCCGCAAGCCAGCGCAGCGGAAGCTGGGTACTGAGTGAGGTCAATGGAAGAACAGGGGCTGGGCCAGCCCAGTCCAGTGGCGGGGAGGGGAGGGTCCCCAGGGCTCGGGCAGGAGGGCAGGGAGGAGGCTCCCAGGCGGAGGAGGAGCTCATAGTAGGGCGCCAGCAGCCACAGCCAGCAGAAGAGCCGCCAGCCCGGCCGCGGGCGCTGCCGAGCCTTGGTTATGGGCCCACGTCTTCGTGGGGTATTGCTCCTTGTTGCTGCGGTCCTGGTGGCCCGCGGCGCCCCCGGCCACGCTGGACTCCTCTTTGTGCGCCGTCTTGGGTTCTACCGCCTTCGGGGGGGTCTGGCTGGCGGAGGCGGGGCTGGATTTGGTGGTGGAGGCGGGCTTGGTCGGTGCTCGGGCGGAGGTAGTGACCACCGGGGTGCTGGTGGCCGCAGTGGTGGACCGAGGGACCGGCAGCAGGACCAGGGGCGGGATTCGCGGGGAGAAGAAGGGCTTGTTGCGGAGGTCTGCGTTGCAGCGGGGCCCCTTGCAGCAGGAGCCGCTGAGCGTGAAGCCGGGGCCTGTCACCGCGTCCCGGGTGCAGAACTCGTCCTGGACGCAGCCCCGGACAGGCAAGGACACGGTCACGTTGGCTGAGGAGGGAGACACAAACAGGCCGGGCGTTGAAGACAGGGCCGGGTAGGCCTCGCCAGAGTAAAACTTAGAGGCGAAAACCTCCAAAAACAGCCCTCGCCGGTTTGGCTCAGTGGATAGAGCGTCGGCCTGGGGACAAAAGGGTCCCAGGCTCGATTCCGGTCAAGGGCACATGCCGGGGTTGCAGGCTCGATCTCCAGTAGGGGGCGTGCAGGAGGCAGCCAATCAATGATTCCTGATGTTTCTATTTCTCTCTCCCTCTCCCTTCCTTTCTAAAATCAACCAAAATATGTATTTTTTTTAAAAAAAACTCCAAAACAGGGACAGAGGGGCTCTGGTTCCATTGATCCAAAAGTCTCAACTCAGTCCTCACTTGGAGAAACACTGTCCCAGTCCTTGGCATAGGATGGGTCACATTTCCTGTAGTAGTCTCAGAGGCTGAACCACAAAGAGACGAGCAAAAGTCCCCCACTTCCCCTGTCCTCCCCACCCCCCCCCCATAACATCACCAATATTTAGTCCTAGAGTTAGAATTACTCTCTCATAATACACCTGGCAGAGGGGTGGGCGGTGGGAGGGATTGAAGAACTTCATCTCCCATGATTCCCCGAGGCAGAGGCCACGAGGCTGACCCACATCTCTCCTCTGTGGTTTAGGGGGGCACCCTAACCCCTTGAGTTGTACGGAGTCAGAACCAGATTCCCCCGCAATGCCCGGGTAGAAGCTTGAAGGTTTAAATACACTTCCCACAGCCCGACCCTGCAATCTGCACTCAGCAGGCCTCTATGGAAGTGCATCTCCCGAAAAAACTAGGACAGAAAGCATCCTATCCCCATGCCCTAGGACTGCGTTTCTCAAGAAGCTCTGAAAACAAGACGAGAACTGAGGCCGACAGCGCCCAGAGTGCGTCGGAGGTGGGGGGGACCCTTTGCATAAAGGGCTGCCGTCGCCCGGGAGGCCTCGGAAAGGCTGCCAGTGCCGCCGCCCCTGCTCCGCGGCTCGCTCACCTGCCGTCAGGGTGACGTTGCCGTCGAAACAGCCCTGGTAGACGCGGTCGCTGGCGTTGTAGCACCTCACGACGGGCGGCGCGGTGCCCTGGCACGCCTCGTGGCTCAGCCCCACGCAGCTGTAGCACTCGGCGCCGTTGGGCTCGTTCGCACTCTCATTACCTACGAGGGAGAGGGAGCGGGGTGTGAGGAAGGGGTCAAGAAGGTTCGGGCCCTGGACGGGTTGCTCAGTGGATAGAGCATTGGCCTGCGGACGGAAGGGTCCCGGGTTCGATTCCAGTCAAGGGCTCATGCCCGGGTGTCAGGCTCCATCCCCAGGCGTGCACGAGGCAGCCAATCAATGATTCTCAGCATTGATGCGTCTATCTCTCTCTCTCCCTCTCTTTCCTTCCTCTCTGAAATCAATAAAAATATTTTTTTTAATTTAAAAAAAAATGGTTCGGAAAGCACACTTCGGCCTGGGGTGGCTCCAGTCCACGACTCCCCACCTCGTCCGACTCTAGTTCAGCCTCTAGCTCCGCCCCACCCCGTGACCCCGCCCCTGGCGTCCAGCCCCCCACAGGTGCCTGCAGCGCCGAGGCCCGCCGGGTGCCCCGTGGCCCCGCCCCAGCCCGCTCTGCGCTCTCGGGCGTCGGGCTGGCGCGCACCCCTAGCGGCTCCGGCCCCATACGCTCCGCCCTGGGCCTGGGGCCCGCTCCCACCGACCTGCGGGGGTGAGCGCTCGCGTGGAGAGGTTGAGCTTGGCGTTGCAGCGGTCCTGGGCGCACTGCTGCAGCTGGATGAAGGCCAGTAGCCCGAAAAGGTCCAGTCCGCGGTCATTCTTGCCCGGGAGTCCGGACCCGCAGCCGCGCACTGCCACCGAGAACTGCCCGTGGACTACGGGAGGGA